CTCAGCTCACTTCCTCTGACCTGCCACAACTACTACACCACCAAGTGACATGAGAGGCACATGAGTGCCACATCATCTGGCCACCACAACGGGGCTGGGATGCTGCATTGTTTATTGGTTCCATTGCCCAACCGTGTATTTCCTGCTGGCTTCCCCTTTCCAAAGTCTTAATTTCAGTGCAATTTATAATCAGAGAAAGAGGCCATCAAATGCCTTTCCTAGCCCCACCCCTCCTCTTGCCCCCCCTCCACCTGCTGGAATTTCCTCTGAATTTCAGCCTCTCAGAATAACATTGAGGACTGTTATATCGCAAGTACCTCTAGGGAGTGTTCAGTCACTTCCTTTGTGTTACTCATTTGTAGTTTAACAGATCCTAAATTCTTTGGAATTGGCACCATCTCCAGTGCCCTGCACTGAGCCCAAAAAAGAGGGCTTAGATAGTTAGCAAACATTTGTACAACAATGAGGATAAACAGTAAGAGATGAAAACTCACACCTTATTACAAATAAATTTCTTCTTTCCCAGCCCTGTCCTGAGAAATTTTGGCTGGATCATCTGTTATGTAAGAAGAATGTAGACAGTCCTGAAGAGAAGTGAACCTAAGAAAAGCTCCTACTAGCTCTGCCTGTAAAAACTGTTCAACTAGTGGATCAATCTAAGGGAGGAAAATTGTTCAAAGGAAGCCCCAGACATTTGCTTGAATACCATATGAAAGTACCATGTTTGTCTGTGGAAGTCTCTCTACACTTCAAAAATCTTTTAATGAGCTGGCAGAGTGGCTCAAGTGGTAGGGCGCCTGCCTAGCAAGTGTGAGGCCCTGAGTTCAAATTCCAGAACTGCCCTCCCCCCAAAATCTTCTCCCCTCCCCAAATCTTTTAATGAGATATTAATTGGCAATTGTTTATTGACTATAAGGTAAGACATGTAACAGGACCCCAGTCTTTCAGACTTCTTTCAAATCCCAGAATGCCTGGTATAGCACTCAAGCAATCACTAGTCAGCAACATAAAAAACTAGATTTACAAAGTGTTACCATGTCAGTGCTATATGATCACTGGTTAAAAACCTACCTCCTAAGGTCAGATAAACCAGAAGTTAAAATCTGGCTCCCCTGCTTAAACTCTGTAAGCCTGAGTTTTCACACCTGAAAAGAAAGGTATTAATAAAACCTATTTTCATGGAGTTGCAAAAAAGATTTAAATGGGAATGCATATAAAGTGCTTAGCCACAGAAACTACTCAAGAGTAAGTGCACCATAGTCAGACATGGTGGTGCATGCCTGTGATCAAGTTTGAGGCCAACCTGGGCTACACGGACAGCCCCTGTAAGAAAAAGAAAAGGAAGGAAGGGAAAAAAGAAAGAGAAAAAGAAATGTGCACCATCATTTGGAGACCTCGGTTTTTATTTCCCCACCACCTCCCTTTGTATTCTCAGGCTAATTACTTACTACAAAAAAGCTAAAGAAAGGGAGGAGACAGATTGTCCTCTAAGAGCAGGACTATCAACTATGAAATAGCAGTAAAAAACAGATCAAACTTGGAAAAATAAAAGCCTTAAACAAATTCTAGACAATTTGTGCTTTACTTGAAGCTTGTATGTTTAATTATTATTGTCTCAGCTGCAGAATATTAAAATGAAAAGTCTGAACAGTCAGATTTCAGAACAGGTTGGGACTGGAGCTGTGGCCCCAGTCTTAAACAAACAAAAACCCACTATTTTATAACCATTTTTTCTCAACTGAGGTTAAATCTGCTTTTCCTTTTTTCCCCTCAGCCCTTAAATTTATCAGTCATATGTGTATTACCAAGCACCCATGTAATAGTCATTATTCAATCTAGCTGCTGTGTGATACAGGGCCATCACAAGTACACAGAGTCTCTTTGTAGGAGTTAGACAAGAGCACTCAGAACAGGCTAGTTTGGGCAAATCATACATGGCAATCACACACATAAGCACTAACATCTTCATACACTTAACTGGCATACGTGCACAACTGTTTAAATAGTACACATCCACACAAACACAAAGTTGACTGAAAGAGTTTAAAGAATGAACTGAATAAATGGAGAAAGATTCATCAAAACTGAATAAACAGGCCTGGTGCAATGGCTCACCCCTATAATGCTAGCTACTCCAGAGGCTGAGAGCTGGAAGATCATAGTTTGAGGCCAGCCAGGGTAAAGTCATCAGAAACCTCATCTCAACCAATAAAAGCTGGGCATGGTTGGCTCAAGAAGCATAACTGGGAGGATGGAGGTCCAAGTCAGCCCAAGCATAAAGGCAGACCCTATCTCAAAAATAACCAAAAGGGGCTGGGGGCGTGGCTCAAGGGGTAGAGTGCCTGCCTATTAAGTGTGGGACCCTGAGTTCAATTCCCAGTACCACAAAAGAAAAAGAAACAAAGAAAGAAACTGAAAACATGGAGTTCAAAAGTCAAAAGAGCTCAAGAGACAAAACCAATTTCTTTCCTTTCCCTCACTGCTATAGCTTGGATCTAGACTGTCTCCCCAAGGCCCATGTGTTAAAAACTTGGTCCCTATCTTGGCGCTACTGGGAGGTGGTGGAACTTTTAAAGAAGAGGAGTCCAGTGGAAGACTGCAGGTCATTGAGGGCATGCCCTTAAAGGGGACTGTGGGACACTGGTCTTCCACTCTCTCTTTCAGTCCTGGTCATAAGGTCAATGATTTTGTTCCACATTTGATGCCACCCATAACCTGCTGCCTTACCACTGGCCCAAAAGAAAAAGCCAACCAGTTATGGACTGAAATCTCCAAAATAAACATCTCTCTTTATAAGTTTATTATCTCAGGTATCTTACAGTTAAGGAAAGCAACTGACTAACATACCACCTTTAGCTACCTTAACCAAATGGAACTTTAGTGATGGGTGCTAGTGTCTCTCTTTCAATCTGTGTGTGTGTATGGTTGTATGTGTGAAAGAAAAAACTCAGATGAGTTTGCAAAAACACTGGTAAACAAGACAACAGTTGTTTTGAACTGCATTAAAATCTGTAATCCCAGGCAAAAATATGCTAAATGCTGCAATAACTAGTCTTAAAATATTACCTGTGAACTGTGTCAAATCTACCTCCTTCTTGAGTTTCTCCCTCCCACTCAATACTCACATAGAAAAGACACAAAATTATTTTTGTTTGCTATTGTACATGCAGATCTATCCTGCATTTTTACAAGGGTCACCTTCCTTAAATTAAAAACTAAGGATGCATTGTTACATTTTAACACTACTTTACCTAACCCTATGACCTGCACAAAACAGCATCTTCAATACTTATTTAAGGAATAGAAATTTCAGGTTAAATATGGCCTCTTATTCACATGCGCAAGGAAACAATGCACAAAGATATTCATTGCAGCACTGTTTATAAGAAGTTTGGAAGCACTCTAAATACCCATTAAAAAGATGCATAAGTACAATATATTCATATAATGAAAACCACATAAGTTTAAGGGTTGGGAGTGTAGCTTGGTGGTAATGTGTTTGCCTAGAACACTACAGGCCCTGTGTTTCATCCCTAGCACTGCAAACAAAAGAAAAAAATGCTTTTTTTGTTCCTTGTATGCACACTAAAGACCTAAGGAATATTCACTCCAAAAATAGAAAATTAAAAATATATATATTACTGCCTGGTGTGGTGGATGGCTCCTATAATCCCAGCTGAGGCAGGAGTACCAAAAGTTCATGCCCACCCTGGGCAATGAGAGGAAGGTAAAGGGGGAAAGAGGGAAGAGAGGGAGAAAGAAAGGAGGAGAGAGGTATTACTGATCATTTAAAGTTCCCCAAATGACATGTGGGAGGGGAGTGGTGAAGGAAGGAGATTAAAGTGAAGGAATACAGTTGATGGACTTCATATAACTGTAGGAAATAAAACAAAGAAATCTCTTGCAATTGCTAGAAGTGGGGCAGGGAGGGGGTCGAGGGAGAGAGATGGTGAGGACCAACTAACCAATGTACAATATAAACCTACTTGGAATTGTCACAATGAATACCCCTGTACAACGAATATATCCTAATTCAAATTTAAAAAATAAATAAATAAAGTTGCCCAAATGGCAGAAAAGGCGCCTGATTTAGTAATGGAAATCACTTGAAGCTGGTGATGTGCTCTAGCTCCATTCTGTTACCCAACAACACACTATTTCACGGAGCTGCAGTTTTCTCACCTCAGTGGAGTTGCCAACACCTGCCTTGCAGGATGAAACGAAATAATTAACGGAAAAATGTTATGCAGAAGGTCTTAGACTTGTTTTTTGTCTAGTCAGTCAGAAGTCTGGTAAGAACGCTCTTACAGGCGAGAAGTGCTGAGTCGGCGCCTTTTGCATGTCATAGACTACATGGCAGAAAACGTCAAAGAGCACAACAGGAAGGGGCAACCCCTCGCCTTCCTTTTCCCAGTCCCGGGGGCGGCTGCCTCCTATGCTTTCTATATTTAGCCCAGAGAGCAAAACAGGCGGAGAGAGCGAGAGAGAGGGCACCGAACCGTGGCTTTCCAAGGGCTCCTTTCGGAACTGCCCGTGACCTTGGGATACGTTTTTTTCATCTCGCCAAACTCCCGCGCCGTTCCCCAACGTACACACACCCCTCTGCAGCGCAGCCAGCAGGCCGATGAACCACCACCCAACAGTCGTTGTCACAAAAGAGACGGTAAAACGGTCAAGGCGACGTTTGTGGGTACTGGAAGCTTCTGTTTGTTTTCCAAGCACTGTGGACTCAGCGCTTTCCTCTGCAGAGAGGAAAGGAGGAAGCCCGGGGCAAGTAAGTTCTGCCACTTGCTCCCAAACACCTGCATGTGGATTCCACACAAAGACCCGTACCCCGAGGCCCCAGGGCAGCAGGCTCGGTCTGCAGCAGGACAGACCCACCGGTCACCTACGCCGCCACACGGGGACCCACCGAGGCGCACACGGGGCGCCGACACGCCCCGCACTCGGGATGCGCTCTGGGACCCCAGGCTCCCCCGGGGCTGGCCGCAGCGCCTCACCTGTCTTGAAGACCATCTTGTCATCGTCCTTGGACGCGAAGGTCTTCAGCATGGACACGAAGAGCACCCCACAGGTGTTCTGGATGCCGAGCACCGATCCGTTGCACCACATGGCCGCCAGCATCACTAACCAGCCCCAGCCGCCCTCGGGGGGCTCCCGGGGCTCCGCGCCCGCCGGCCTCGCCAGCTCCACCTCCACCTTCTCGGCGGCTGCCTCGGAGCCGTCCGAGGGTCCCGGGACGGACAGAGGAGCGTCCCCCAGGAGTGCAGGGCCGGGAGGCTGCGCCTCACTCGTGCCCCGCGCGGCGGAGGCGGGCTCCTCCTGGGAGGGAACCATGGCCCGAGGCGGCCCCCCTCGGATACCGAGAGAGCGCGAGGGCGCAAGCTCCCGGCCGGCTCGCGGAGGAGCCGCGAGAGCCGCGCGGGCGGACTGGGGAGGCCGAGGGGAGGGCGCCGGAGCCCCTGAGGAACGGGTGGACTGGCGGGCGACGCACCGCGCAGGGGCGGCCGCGAGGACGGCGACGGCGCGCGAGCGAGCGCCTCAGGGCTCAACACTCAGCCCCAGAGTCCACCGCCCCGCACCCCGACGGAGCCCGCTGCCCGCGGCCGCTTCTTAAAGTCGCACCCCGCACCCCCCGCCCTGCCGGTAAGGGGGCGTGGCCAACAGCGGGACGTGCCTCGGAGCTCGCAGGTCATTGGTCGTCAGAGTGCGGAGGCGGGGCGCCCCGTGGCGCATGGTCCCAGGAGCCTGCGGGTGGCGGTGTCTACATGCGCGTCTACCGCAGGGCCTTCTGCTGAGCCGGGGATCACAGAGGTGTAGTGTAAGTATTAACCGAAGGGGCGCGTCGCCTCCTAGGTGACGGCTGGGTGGGTCATCGATCAGGTCAGCAGCTTGCTACACAGTGTGACAGCCACACTGACGCTGCCCCTTGGCTTTGTGCTGGTTTGGGGTTTTGGCGTTGGCCTCTCGAGCTAAGTATAATGTATGAAAGACTTTATGCCACCTGCCTAGTTAACAAGGAAATCGGAAGGATCAGAGGCCTTTTTTTAATTACTTCAGTTCCGTTCTCTTGCGTTCCTGTCCAGTTTCTTTTGAAGACTTGCCACGTTGAAGATGTCTTTTGGAAGACAAGGACTCCAATTCTAAAGTCTTCAGCCAACATTTTTGACAGACAGCTAGCTAAAAAAAAAGAAAGAAAGAAAAAAAAAAGCTTTTTAACTATACACAGTTGTTTTCACTCTAAACAGAAATGAAAACATATTTGAGGTCACTTCTTAATTTCTCAGTTACTCAGATTCTTCACCCCAACCAAAAACAAAATCTGCTAGTTACTGATGTGCCCACCACTGTGGTGGGATGCAAATGCAGGCGACTGTGATGGATCACATTTCTGTCTGAATTCATAAACTAGTAGGAAAATACAGAGTCCTGCAATACACAATGAGGTTCAGCTGATCAGTGTTATATGTGTAACAGAGAGAGGTGGTATGGGACCATTAAACTCTCTTCAGAACACCAGAGAATAGCCTCACAGCAAGCACCCCTTAAGCTGAGCCCTGAATTATACACAGGTCTTCAGTGGACAAGGATAAGCAAAGAGCATTCCAGCTAGAGAAAAAACCAAGGAAAGCAGGATGTGCCTGAAAACCCAGGAACATAGCTTAAGCGTGAGTTGCTTTAGAGAGGAAGTTAAAATAGGGCTACAGTTTGGATATATGATGTCCCCCAAAAGCTTAGGCCTCATCCTGAAAATTAGTGGTGCTATTAGGAGGCAGTGGAAACTAAGGAGAGGATCCCTAGGGGAGGTTTTAGATCATTAGAGACCTTCCCTCCAAGGAGATTGGGAGACCCTGGAATCTTCTCATTCCTGGCCCTGACATGAATAGGCTTCCTCTGCCACATGCTCTCACCATGTTGTACTGCCTTGCCATAGACTCTAAAGCAATGGGGCAAACTAATCATGGGCTGAAGCTTCCAAAACGATGAGCCAATATAACCTTTCTTCTTTTTAAGGTGATTATCTCAAGTATTCGTTACTGCAACAGAAAGCTGACTGACAAATAGTAAACAGGAATGGTAAACAAATGCACAAAATAAATGTGCAAGGATCTTATAGCAGTATTGTTAGAAATAAAGAAAACTTAAAAGCAAAAATGTACCAAAAATTTACAGGCTCACACCTGTAATCCTAGCACTTAGGAGGTGGAGACAGGAAGATCAAAAGTTTAAGGCCAGCCTGAGCCTGTATAGAAAGACACTGTCTCAAAAAAAAAAAGGTACATCAGTAGAAGATCAATTAAATATATATTATATAACCTCTAAAAGTTACAATGTTTGCCTCTGCTTATTGACTCTGTGTCTTTGTGTGTGTCTATGTTCTGGGGATGAACCCAGAGCCTCATGTATGCTAGATAAGTCCTTTACCACTGAGCTCTACCTACAACACCTATTTATTGGCTTGCTATTATTATGAAAGAAAATGCATCAATTATGTATACGTGTATGGATTATAACCTGAATATAAAATAAACACCCTTGAGTCATGCTATATAAATAATTGACTAAATAAACAGGGAGGAGAATAAACAAATCTCTCCTACATAAGAATTTCCAATAATATATTAGAAACTCTATCTCTAGGAAGTAAAGTACAATGTTTCATCCATTAATGATGGGCTGTGCACAGGGACTTCCTTCTAAAACATACTGTATGCTGTTGGTGTGGCTCAAGTGGTAGCGTGCCCGCCTAGCAAGCATGAGGCTCTGAGTTCAAGTCCCAGTATCACACAAAAAAAAATACAAAATTTACAGTATGGAAAGAGGGAGAAACTTTTCCTAAAGAGTACAATATGGAAATGGGGTTGTAACTTTAGAGTGCAGAAACTGACAGATGCTACCTTAGCCAGATGATGAAGTATGTACCCCTGATCTGATGTGATGAAAATGATACTTTACTTCATCTCAGTACCCACAAAACCTATTACCACAGTCTAGCCATCAGAAAAATACTAGACAAATCCCAACTGAGGGACATTTTACAAGATACCTGATAAGATTTCTCAATTTTTTCAAGGTCATCAAAAACAAAGTCTAAAAAAACTGCCGGAATTAGAAGGAGCCTAGAGACATGATCTACCCTGAATGAGATCCTGAAACAGAAAAAAGGATACTAGGTAAAAACTAAGGAAATCTTGAGTGAAGAATGGACTTTAGCTAATAAAGATAATATATCAATATCGGTTCATTAATTATACATGGCATTCCAATAAATGATGGTAATAGGAAAAACTAGATGAGGAAATCTGGGCACTCTCTGTACTATCTTTGTAATGTTTCTGCAAATCTAAAACTTCTAAAATATCAAGTTTATTTTAAAAGACTGTATACATCATGACCCCACTCTTGTAAAAATGTATATGTATGTGTACATAACAATGTATGAGACATGATACAGTTTACTTTCAAAGCTTTAGTTCATATATAATCATTGTATATGCTGAGACTTTGAAATAGTATTTTCAGTATATAGCTCATTCTCAAAATATGTTCTTATTTATGTGTCAATATTATTTATAACTATTATGCAGTGGTCCTCTATTTTCAGATTAAAATTTCACATTTCTCAGAGGGAATTGATTCAGAAACTGTGACTTAAAGGATTAAGAAGTTAATGTTGAAGACTGGTGTGGTGGTGCACACATATAATCCCAGAACTCTGGAGGCTGAGGCAAGAGGATCATGAATTCAAGACCTGCCTGGGCCAAAGCCAGACTCTATCCCAAGGGAGGGAGAAAACTTAATACCTATAAAGCACTTAGCACACTGGTACATAGTAAGCCCTTGGAAAATGTTAGTGGTTATCACCATTATTACTATTATGACCTCATTGTTTTGTATTGACTCCCCATCACCACTGTTTTATTAGAATCAAAGTAATTTAAATGGATATTTATTTGTTTCCCCTCCAGTGCTTAGAATCAACCCAGGGCCTAAGCATGGTAGGTAAGTGCTCTACACTGAGTTCCATTCCAATCCCTGGATGTTCGCTTTTTTTTTTTTTTTTTTTTGTGGTACTGGGGTTTGAACTCAGGGCCTTCACCTTGAGCCACTCCATCAGCCCTATTTTTGGGTTTTTTGAGAGAGGGTCTTGCAAATTATTTGCCTGGACTGGCTTCAAACTTCAATCCTCCTGATCTCCACCTCCTGAGTTGCTAGCATTACAGGCGTGAGCCACTAGCGCCAGCTGCATTCTTATAATACAACTTTTATTTAATCACAAAATTCTAGGTCAGGATGCTAAAATATAAAACATTTAAATAGGAACACAGACTTCTTTGTCCTCCACTATTATGTTATCTATCCATTGAAGAGAATTTTCATTTTCCATCAACTGCTCTTTCCCCAACACACATAAGGTGCCATTGACCAAAATCTGATAGAAAGTCTCTCATTACTAATTTGATCTGCTTGGTAAGGTTGGATCAGTTACTCCAAAGCAAAGTATGCTTCCAGACCATGGGCTGAGTGAAGGATGGATGCATAAACTTTAATGGTAAAAGCTGAAGTTCCAGCCCCACTCTCCACAGATTTCCTTTGCCTTTCTCAAGCTTCTAAGTTGTTGAAAGAAAAAGATGTCACAGGGCTGAAGATACAGCCAGGAGGAGAGTGCTTGCCTACCATGTGCAAGGCCCTGGGCTTGATCTCCAGCATACAAAAGGAAATTAATAGAATGAAAGCACTTTGAAAACTATAATGTACCTTAAACATTAAAGTATTACTTTAGGTGTCGGAGGTGGCTCATGCCTGTAATCTTAGCTGCTCTGGAGGCAAAGATCAGGAAGATGAAGTTCAAAGTCAGCCCAGCCAAAAAGTTATCAAGACCCAAATCTCAATCAATAAGCCAGGGATGGTAACAGGTGCCTGTCATCCTAGCTACTCCGGAGGCTGTAGGTAGGAGGATCACTGTCCAAGGCCAGCCCTTGGCAAAAACTTGACACCCCATCTGAAAACTAACTAGAGCAAAAAGGGCTGAGGTTTGGCTCAAGTGGTAGAGCGCCTGCCTAGTAAGTGCATGTCCTGAGTTCAAACCCCAGTATCCCCAAGAGAAAAGTATTACTCTAGGCTTCTATGCTCTGTAAAAAAGATATTAATTCTGGAGGCTCCTAAATTGTGCTAAAATCTTATGAAATTAGGCAAGTTTGTGTTTGTTTGTTTTGCTAATATCAAAGGGAAAACAAATCAGATTTTCTTGGTTGAATGTTTTAAAAAAGAAAGCATTTACTACCAATAAGCTATAGAATTAAGTCACTGCTAAATGAAGCAGTTTTAGGTTTACAGATAAACTTTTTTTGTTGGGGGAGAGAACTGGGGTTTGAGTTCTGGGCCTCCAACTTACTAAGCAGGTGCTCTACTGCTTGAGCCACACCTCCAGTCCATTTTGTTTTGTTTACTTTGGACATGGGGTCTTGTGAGCTATTTGCCTGGGCTGGCCTCAAACCTCAATC